TTTTTTTGAAGAAAATAAAACATAACCGAGAATCAAACATATTTATTAGACAATTTAAAAATATTTAAAAGTGAGACATCTGACTTTGTTTTACAGAACTAAGTGCATCAAAATTTATCTCCACTGATGATGTCGCTACACGCAAACAGTTTTCCAAATGAACTTCAGTAATTCGATCTCACTCGTGATTTGATGTACTTCACGCGACTAAAAAGCTGTTCACACGCGTAAGTATTTCCACATAGCGAAACCATAGACAGAACATGTTTGTAAAACACAGGATATTTATCCTTGTCCAAATACGTTTCATAGAACTCTTCCAAACCTACTTGATGAAATTTCTCCAACGTTTCAGGGTTTACTTACTTATATAATCGATACGGTAGACGGACTACTCGGTTAAAGTAGTTTGAACTGTAATTATAAATATATTAAATATGTATTTACGTCGATGGCAAAATATCTCCAGATGCATTGGCGATAATAAAACGAAACTACAGAATAACACGGAACTTTGTCAAGCTGGACTGAAAGTAGTTATGAGTATAAGCCCGATAGCATTGCGAGCTTCCCGAAAACGCCGAAGACCACAGAACATATATAGGTGAAGTCTCGTATTAAATTTTATCAACACCTAGCGTCGGACAAAAAACTAAGTAACATCGAGTGTCAAATAGCGGGATATTCGAAATAACTAAAAATCTATGATTTTTCCAAAATGAGAGATATTTCAAATTTCTCTTAGCTATTATTTAAAAATACATGATACGAATAACTCGTGATGTAATGTTCTTTTGATGATATGTACAGTACAATAAAGTTAACATTTACGTTCATTTGATCTAGCTCCACGGGCCGCAACACGACTCCAGGCGGGCCGCGGGCCTCGTGTTGGCCACCCCTGTTTCATAACGTTTCGTACATATTTTAGTTCTTTATAACTGGAATTGCTATAAAATAACAACCATAATTACGATATAATAATCTGTGTATTTGGCGTAAAAAAATAAACTATCGCGACTCGACGAGATTATATTATAAACCATTTATTTCGCACGCTAATAAGTGAACTCGATAATTAATTTTACCAAACAAAAATATTACCACTAAATAATAATTTAAATCCAGAGAATTTATAAGTGTTACATAAATTTTAAATTTAAAGGATATAATACAAACTGTTGCCACATACCACAATTGTTTTTTAACAAGTTATTTTTCTCTTTAACTTATTATAATGTATATTATTATTTATTGTTGGAAACATTTTTCTCTAAATTTTATATTCTACTTATAACAGAAAATTTATTGTAAGACTAGATAAATTTTTTATGATAAAATACATAAATAAATGAAAACAGAACCGTAACGAACATTGATATTAATTACCAATTAAATTACCGTATTATTAAATACAGTATTAGAAGACTTTTACGTAGTAGGCCTATTATAAATTTTTTGTCAACAGTATTTATTTGGCTATTTGTTATAGTTTACTCGACATTTACATTA